TATTTACCCTAACTCGTATTGCGGATACAACTTAATTTAAACATTTTCGTGTTGCGAGAAAATTAATTTTAGTTTTAAAAACTAAAATTAATTTTCTCGCAATTTACTGCATTTCTTCTTTCTATATAATCCGTTTCAATTATTTTAAAAATTAGATATTTTGACAAATGAAGAAAACAGTTTTTGTGATCTTAAAACCGCCGTTTTTGCCCCATGAACTAGTGCACATGTTTCTAATTAAAAAAAAAAAAAAATGTTTCTAATTTTATATATGTTTAAAAAAAAAAATTACCCTTTTCTTAGTTATAGGAAAAAAGGATTTTTTTTTTTTTTATTAACCAAACAAGATTAATTAAATCAAAAACTGGTTCTGGTATCAAATGCTAAAATTAAAAAAAAAAAAAAAATGAATTTCAGAAATCGAAACATTTCTGCAAGAAAATTTAGTTATGTCTTCATCTTCATGAAGGTACAAAAAATACGTACCCACCGCATTTATTTAACGAAAAAACCTCATATACTGAAACTGTTTTCTTTCATTAATAATAATATCTTGTCAAGATTGAAACTGCCAATATATATTTTTTCTCTTCTCTTTTATTAAAATCGACACTACCCCACCGCACCAAACACATGTTCTTATTTTTATTAAAATACCGAGCATTTTCCCCCTTTATATATATATATATATATATATATATATATATATATATATAATATGGTGTATGTAATCACAATCTTTTATATTGTATCCTAGATTTTTTATTTTTATTTTTTTTAGCCAATAAGTAGTTTTTATTTTATTTATAAATTTCCAATGACCGCAATGCTTACATTTCTCGTGTAGAAACGACATTTAAAGCATAAATAACAACACGTTTCTAATTTATATTGACAACTGTTAATAAATACTTGATATTATTAATCATCTTTCTTTCTTTCTTTTTTTTTATAAGCTAACATATTAGTTTTTGGAATAGGACCATTTTAATTTTGACGATTTTTTTTTCTCTCTTTTTGTGAGGAAGGGGTCATTATTAATAATATTTATTAATAAATGTCAAACTGCTCCATATAAGACTTTCATGTGAAAAAAGCAATTTTCATTTTTATTAAATGTCATTTTCTTTCCCACAAAGAAAAATTTATCATTTATATTTAATAAAATGAAAGAGAATTTGTATCTGAGATAAAGTCGCACATGTGTGTGTATGGATGTGTGTGTATCGTCCGGTTCACACTCCTCCCTGCTCTTTTGAACAGGAGTAGAGGTTTATTCCTTGTCTCCTGTTTTGCATTGGGTTTCCAGTTCCTTTTAAATTCTTTTTCATTCTCTCTCACTCCCAGCAGCCCCTTGCATCTTGGTGGCATTATTACCTTACCTAGAGTGAATTGATTAAAATAAAAAATTAAAAACATAGGTCAAAGGTGTTTTATTTTTTTATTAATTACTATACCGACCATATAATCAAAGACATGGTTATTTCATTTGTACATGAACATTGGAGTTAAGTGTACATTATGACAAGGAGGTATTCTAAGGGTGCTATTTCAATTTAAAGACGAAAAAATGAAAGTTTTAAAATGTTATTTCTTGCCCTGCCAGTGGGATAAAAAGTAACAGTGATACACAATGTTACATGGTGGGGTAAATTGTGACAACTGAAATTAAGACAATGAAACCATTCTTTTTCTGATTTATGCTTCAAATCCAACTTTCTTTTTTTATTTTAACTTTAACAAATATAAAATTGATAATTTGAAGGAAAAAAAAGTGATAAAATTGTCTTACTATAATCTACAAAATAAGTGAATTTCTACTTACATGTGTCAATTCTGGATATTCTGCTCTCCTCTGGTTTTTTGTTTATATTCTCTTATATAACACTTAAGGGAAGATGACACAAGAGTCCATTATAGTAATTTCACCCGTAAATCTGTGTGTATGTATAAGCAATAAATAACTAATTCCTCCTAATAACTTCTATTTTGTGTGAAAGACTCCTGACTGAATGATTCTCTAAAAGCTACTTTAGTTGCTTCAAATCTCAACTTTTTATCTATCCTCATATTCACTTGAGACTTTCTCCCTTTACATAAAACAACCTTTTGTCAGTAACACTCTGCTTTGAGTGGCTCTTAGGCCTTGTATTGGGTGAACAGCAGTATAAAAAGAAAGGATCTTTTTCTTTTAAACTAACACTGTTACTTATTACTATGGATGTTATATTAAAATTGGTGGAATGCACTTTGCTTAGAAGTGCTTTCCTTGCTAGAAAAACGAACACAGGTTCAATTCCTGTTGGTAAGTGCATCTTCTCCAGTAAAACCTCTTCATCTCTAGGTCCATTGACATAACTTTTTTTAATAAGTGTACTTTCTAAATATAATGTTTATATAGAAAAAAAATTATATATATATATATATATATATATATATATATATATTTATATATATATTTTTAATAAATCTAATATTCAGGCTAGTAGACAAAACTAAATAAATATATTTTTCAATAAGTAAACAGAGCATCTACTCAAATATAGTTATTAAACTAAAATAACATTTAAATATATATATATATATATATATATATATATATATATATATATATATATATGATCTTTTGTTTGGTGAATTGATATATAATATATATATATATATATATATATATATATATATTTATTAATTCATTGTGATAATGCTACTAAGACCCAAGGGGCTACTGGGAGTGAAAGAGAATGAAAAGTCTTTAGAAAGAACCAGAAACCCATTATTAAACAGTAAACAAGGGATAAGACACTACTCCTGTTCAAAAAACTGGGGAGTAGTGTGAACTGGATGATAGGTGACCATAGCTAACTAATATATATATATTTTTTTTTTCTTTACATCAAATGTTATTTAGAGTAGATGTTCCATTTATTTTAAACAGTATTTATTTTGACTGTCAGTCTGCTCACTCAAAAAGCTAATAAAGAATATGTTCCTCAGGCTGAATTTGAACCTTTGTCACTCTTCACAGGATAAACTACTGTTTGATCTGGTGTGCTTTAGCCACTCAAGTACAAAGATTTTCACACTCAAGGAAGGTTCTATTTGCCTTTTAAAGCATACTCACTCTTTCTTGAAATGCATATCGTTTAAGTTACTTGTATGAAATGTAAACAAAGCAATTTCTAAAGAATTAATGGATTTTATTTTTGGATCCAATATATTTTTAAATATATTTTATCTTGCGTCTATTATTCTGTCCCAGTATATTCTGAGGGCGTATTTAAGTCAGGGAGTAAGATTCCCATTATTTTCATAGGCATCGTGAGCAAATGAATTGAGTCCACCACATTCATGAAGGTCTTGTATACAATTGATGGTCTGACCCCCAAATCTGCCCCATAATAATTTTTGGGGTTTTTTAACTTGACAGCGCCTCCATTTCTTATATAATTTTTATTTTTAACATAACCTTCCTCTTTTGGTTTTATTTTATTATTTGGTTTTAAGTTTGACATTGTTTGTCACAAGGCCATGAGTATATTAGTACTTATTTGTTAGCCAAATTGATTTCTCAGTTGTAATGGTCAACCAGACTAGCTCATTAACTATTAAACCTGTGCTGATAGTGGGCCTCACTAACATGGTTCTCTACCTTGCATCAGATATATATATATATATATATATATATATATATATATATATATATATATATATATATATATATATATTATTTTTTACTGTTAGCTGTCTTTCTTCCTTATTTTTCTTGTTTGTCTATAAATATTTGCTTCGCCTACAGACCATTATTTAGTAACGTGGTTTTTCTCGTTCTAAAATCTTTTTTTCCAGCCTTTCTTTCAATTTAGTTTTATACCACACCTCATATCATGAACACTGTTGTACTTAATCAACACTCTGGGAAGAAAAATATACTACATACATTTGTTTTTGTCAACAACTTTTTATTGTTTCAGTATTATTTGTTATAATAACAATAATTAACAATAATAACTCATAACAATAATAGTAATAATAACAATGATAACTAACATTTAACAGTAATAACTATCAACAATAATAGTAGTAATAATAAATAGTGATAATAAACAAAAATAATAGTAATTAACTACTGGTGATAATGATAATAATTAGAAAAATTATTTGGCCATCTTATTAAAATAATAGTAACAGCAATAATTAATAATAGTAATAATAACACTAACAGTAATAATAGTAATAACTAGTAACAGTGATAACAAACAAAAAGTAGTAATAAACGACAATACTGGTAATGGAAACAATAACAATAAGGATAGAAATATGAAATTACTCGACCATCTTATTAAACATATGAAAATCTTTTTTCAAATTCATTTTAATTGTAAATTTAAATTTATTTTTTTTTTATTCCTCACTCCATCTTCTGTTTCTTAAAAGCTACTTTATTACCAGAATATGAAACCTAATTAAAAAATATTTATATATTTTGTTTATCAATACTGAAAAATAAATTAGTGCTTAATAAGCTTATATCTTTTTGTTAGTTTTTAATTTCTTTTTTCTCTTCTTTTGATAATGTTCACTTACAATATGAGTATTTACTGTCTCTTACATTGGATGCATTACTAACCATGTGATGTAAATTTGGCAAAAACCTGCTATTTTTAGTTTAATGTTCACTTATGTTGTGTACAGTGCAATAACACGTGAGTATAGAAGGTTGAAGCATCACAATCTTCTGTGAAATGAGCCGTTTATATTGCAGTGAAAAAATAACATGATTTCTATGTGCGAGTCTCTAATGCGTTTCCCTGTAGTTTCAGGTGACTGAGGGGTGGGGATGGGACCCTGAGGAAAAACTAAGAGGCAATCTCAATCCTGTCATGCAAATGAAGGTAAACAGAAAAGGTGTTGAAACAAATTAAAAAATAAATAATTGCACTGACCTTTTTGTGTTTTGTCTAATACATGAAAATTACATTTTACATAGGAATTGAACTCACGACTTTAGAAATAAAGAGTGAGGAGACGGGCTTTGTAATCATTGTGACAAAACAAGATATCAAAACATGTTATCAAGCATCGGATATTATTATTGTAATAAAATATTTGTTGTTATTATTGCTACAAAACCCATTATTATTTATTAAAACAACCATTATTATTAATATTATTACAAGCATTATCATTATTATTGCAACAAACATTAGAATTTTTATTTTTATCATTACAACCTATTATTATTAAATTTTTATTTATCATGATCTAGCAAGACAAGCTTGCTACCAATATTATATATATATATATATATATATATATATAATAGTGCATTATTTGGTTTGCGATCCCTCTTTTATACCAGTTTCATTAAAGCAACTGACAAGGTACTGTGATTAATCTTTTTGTTATTTTTCTTGTTTGTATAAATGTTTTCTTTTCTGGACATAACATGGTCAGCACATTATGGCCGTGTTCATAGTTGATGTTTTTGAGTGTTGGCTTTTCCATTATCTAGAATTTTTTTTTCGCATGTGGATGAGACTATTATAGTTGTATTTTCTCTAATTATGTTGCGGATGGAGATTTGGAGGTATCCATATGTGTTTGAATGAGTAGTATTTGTGCTAGGGTCAAAGAGGTGTGTAGTGGTATGTCCAATGTAATTATTCATGAATTTGGTTTGATCAGGAATATGTGAATTCCATATATATATATATATATATATATATATATATATATATAAGTAGTAATCTGTTGGTATAATCCAGGGTGAGTCCTATTACCACAACATAGAATCTGAAATATGTTAAAACTGACTCGTAAAAGATCACTTGGTGTTTATTTTTATTAAATAGAGTATTTCTATATTTTGTATCTTTACAATTGGAATTTTAAAATTAAAATTTGTAGGTGAAAATGGTAATTTACTAAAGGTATCTTAATTCTATTTTTTAAAAGTGTATGTGTGTGTGTATATGTATATATATATATATATATATATATATATGTGTCTCCAAATAAAGAGAAAGAACAGACAGATTAAGAATCCACCGTTCTTAGAATTTACTTTTTTTTTTAAAAAAAAGATGCTCAATACAACATCGAGCAGATAATATTTTTATTATAAAATATTATAAATTGCTACACAACAATTTCTATATTTTGGAACTTAATAATTGTTCCGTCATAAGGCGATGTTGGGTAAGTTACCCAACATCGCCTTATGACGGAACAATTATTAAGTTTATAATTACAATCCTTTTGTCTAGTTGACTAAAGTGTTTCATGTTACAACACTCATCAAGACCAGAAGTCCACTAAATTTGAATTTTCAAACTTCTGGTCATGATGAGTTTTTTGATGGTAGTTTTTTGGTCACACAAGTCAAAAACTTTATTTTTTATTTTTTTTTTATTTTGATTCATTGAGTGATAGCTTGAGTGTATTTATTAGGATTTTTTTTTTTTTTTTTTTTTTTTTTTGGCAGAAGTTCTACTCGACTGAAAAGATTCATTAAGTTCTTGTCAAATTGTTTTATTATAATTATTATTATTATTATTTTTTTACTCTAAATTTTTAATATTATGTAAAATTTAAATTTTACTTATTTTCTGTTAAATAAAAAGTGGGGGTTAAAATCAGGTTACATCTGGAACACGTCGCTATTTCAATATTTTTATTTTTTATTTATTTATTTTTTTTTAATCTTCCGAAACCTATATTAAATAACATTTTGGTTGTCTTGTCGAATTCCATTTTCATGAGCACCAATTGTTTTTGAATGTGTAATCTCAAAACAAACAAGATTTTGATGTTTTTATCCCTGCCCACTGGCATTAACTGTACTTCCTTATTTATTACAAAGGTTTTAATAATTTCATTTACACTGACAGATTAAATACATAAAACAAACCTCAATAATTAATCAATTTTTAAAATATTTTACGATAAAATTTCATTACTTAGAATGTTTTTGTTTTTTTGTAAATCATCTCATTCCAACCAAAGCAACAAAACTAATAAGGATGTTAGGTTTTACTGATTGTTCTAGAATATGAAAAAACTACTATTAATGAGAGGACAATGAAAGAACATGACTTAAAGAAGACAGAAGATAACAATTGACATTGCATTTAAATTTGTGAAAATCAAAGTTGACTGCGAAGTAAGAAGCCGAAAGAGTTCCACAAGCGAGAAGTGCAATAGAAAAAAAGCTGTTGGCATAGAACTTGCGTAGAATATTTTTTTATCAATAATCATTAAATTAATGCAAGACTTACTAACAAACTGAGTTTGAATAGTGAGTTTAATCTTCACTGGGTGCCCCATGCTTTTGGCCTTGTGCTATACCTAAGCTACACTTGGAATATCACATTTCTAACAAAATGATATTGTGTGTATGATAAATATATAGATATATAGGTAAAGAAAAAGTTTACTTTTGTAAATAACACTAAGGCCAGAATTTATGGAATGATATGTAATAATTTTTTACAAGCAAACTGTGGTCCTCATCTTTGTTATCATAATGTTTCGACCATAGTGCCCTCCAGACTTCATCAGGTGCTCCTTTATCCAGATAACCTTCAGGTAATTTTTGTCTAAATTTCTGTGAGGAGTTATGTAGGAAACTCAGATTGAGATGGGGAAGGCTGGACAACAGCTAAAACGTGATAAAAACAACAAATATGAGGACAATAGTTTGAATATAAATAGTGTAAATAACATTGAAGGAATTTAAAACTAAACCCTTTACTTAATCTACAAGGATTAATTGTTCTTGTTCTGCTGATCATGTCTCAGAATATCTCTAGTTCTCATTTAGCACTGGTCATGGGACAATAGCCTGATTGGTTGAGGTTTTGGCGCATGAATTTGCGGGCATAATAATTATGAGTTCAATCCCTAGGCAAGACACTATATTCTTGAATTTATTGTAAAGAGGGAGAAGCAATAACTGAGAAGTAATAAATAAGAATATCGCTAGATATAGTCCGCAGAATAAGCATAGAGATTAAATCAAATACTTTTCCCGGCTTAGGGGTTGAACTCAAAGTTACTGTTGCCAAATTCATGAACCAAAACTTTAATCCAATAGGCTATTGGCAAGCAATAACTGAGCTGTACTAAAAATAAGAACTAGACGAAGTATCCCCCAGACATCCCTCTTGTGTAGATTAAATAAAGCGTCCATTTTGAAAATCCCTGCAGGTTACCCAGATTTATCTACATGTTGGGTGTTAACTCTTATCTTATTTCAAATATTCATAATTACAATTTATTTTATTGTTTTCTATGTGTGGTTGAAATCTTTACCGCCACAATGGTGAAGCCGATTTGGAATAAATTATTAAACTAGATTGTTTGAATCTCTGCAAAACAGTAAGTGTATGTCTTATTTTAAGAGAATTATTATTATTATTATTATTATTATTTTTACATTTGTTATCACTCGGACACACACTTGCATTACTCTTCCTACTAGACAGACACACATACACAATATTTAATACACATTGCCATTCGATGTTTGCTTAGATGTACTAGAATTTTTACCAACTTACTTACATGTAGAATTATCTACGGTTTTAATGCACATGATACGTGACTGACCAATAAGAATGAACCCAAACAAAATTGAAAAAAACCAAAGTTGTGTCTTGACAAGAATGAGAGAAAATGTACAAAAGAACAGAACTTTGGTATTTTCCATTTTGTTTGGGTCGAATTTCATTGGTCAGTCATGTATTGTGTGCATTAAAACCATAGATAATTCTATATCTATGTAAGTCTGTAACAATTCTAGTATGTTTAAGCATGCAGTGGATGGTAATGTGTATTCATAATTGTGTGTGTATATATATATAATATATATATATATATATATATATATGAGAGAGAGATGCTTTTTTTTTTTTTTTTTTTTTTTTTTATTGATCATTTCATCTAATGGCTTTAATATTCCAAGGCTGTCTATCCTCTACCATCCTCCCATGTAAATATTCTCACATGCTGATAGATCTAGATAATTATATTTGTCTATTGTTTGTATTCTCTGTAGTGATATATCTTTTAGTGTTGCTGCTCAAGTTTTTGAAAATTGCTTAAAAATAAAAATTCAGGCGGTCATGTTCACTTCAAGCCATAAAACTTGCCAATAACAATTTACAAGTTTAAGGAATCTTAAAAAAAAAATTCTTTATTTTTTTATTTTTATTTTTATTTTTTTTGCTGTTAAATTGAAATATGTTTGTTTTTAGAAAAATCTCTGGAAATATTTCTTCATAAATTTCGCAAGCCATTTGCAGGGTATTTAAAATAAAATTGACATCATTCAAAAGATAAATATCTAAGTAAATATGTAAATGAAACTAAACAGACTTATTATTGAGCAAAAGTGAGATTTATTCATCAAAATTTGAATAAATATTCAAAGATATGTGGATTTCATAAACGATTTTGCATGTGTTCAATATGTGCAACGCCTGTGACACAGCACATGTCATGTCAGTCGGTGGGCTCTTGCTAAACACGCTGCAGCATGTCATGGTTAACAGTCTCTGAATCATTGCAGTTAGTGCATATTTAGTGAATTCTCTCTCAAATTCATGCTGCACAGAGACTAACACACAAAACTACTTTTCTTTTCCAGTGAATGGCATTTCTGTACCTGGAAAAAAAAAAAAAATTAAACATAGAATTGTGAATTGCTTCTACACATGGTGTTAAAATTTTCGATAATTTGAATGAGAATTGGTCAAGTTATTAGATTATGAAATGATATTGATTTTTCTGAAATGCCCTCTCCCTGTGTGTGTGTGTGTATATATATATATATATGTATATGAGATTGAGAAAAAGTACCTAAAACATTAACACTAAAAATTTAATGTCAAATTCTCAGTTTCTGGTTTCTTTTGTGTGTAGATGCATCAATGTAAACATCTCACACAAAAACTTTTACAACTTTTTCATAGTAGTTCTGCACCCTCGCAAAAAAAAAAAAAAAATTATATATATATAACAAAACAAAACACTTTTTAAG